ACAATTTTCATGAAACACAGAACTTCAATTGAATGGCCAAATACACTACAACGTGTACATGCATGTATATAGTTCTTTCCTATGATCCCGTGCACTTCGTTTACAATGCGTAAATGCTCATAGAATGAACAGCAACATGTAGAAAATTAGAAAACAAAAGATTTTCATTTAAATGTAATGATATTAAAACGGATTTTGTCAAATAAACAATGTGGCTATTGGGAATCCGTCATTGGTATTTCTTTTCTTTGCAATTTTTAGTTGTGGAGTCTAGGACAAAAAATGCAACATAATAATAAAGATTTAAAATATTTTTGTTTGAACTTTAAAAATCTATCATCTGTAGATGTCAACAGAAGATCGCTTGTTTGTGGTCGCCATTGACTTTGGGACCACCTACTCGGGCTATGCCATCTTATCTAGAGGACACTTCATTGAAGACCCACTTGAAAAAATCATCACTAAAGTGTGGCAAGCAGGAGATCTATTGTCCGACAAAACACCCACTACTCTTTTGTTGAAGCATGTTGAACCAGACAGCCGCCAAGAGTTTGTAGCGCTTGGATATGAAGCAGAAGACATTTACAGTCGTCTGCCCGAAGAAGAAAAAGATGGCTACTACTTTTTCAGACGATTTAAAATGGCTCTATACGATGAAGATAGAAAAGTGGTTGGTTGGTTAGTTATAATCAATGGTCAACTATTATAAAAGTGAATTGCTTTCCGCTTCCCTTATTTGATCACACCACTTTCGTTATGATAGTGCTATGTTGCAAACACTATAATTATTTCAATAATTATTGAGAGAACTCTGCCATATTACCAGCATGCAGCTGATTAATTACTGCACACGTTTCGTTTCTTCGAGTTTTATTACTTGAATATCGTTTCCTTTCTGTTTTCAATCAAATAAAACTCAGGTGAATTACCTAAATATGCGCAAAACAATATGGCAATTGAAAGAACAGACATATATTCAGACAAAGGAAATCATTTCTGTCTTTCACTAATTAACAAGTTTAGATTGCCAGACAGTGAGTATTTATTAGCATAGTCAGATACTCTTTGGCAATTGAAAATTGTTCTTCTTTATTGTAACCTGAAGCTTTACAGCTTAAAAATGGAACAAAATACAATCATTGGATTACAAGATCACCTCTTCGCCTCAAGCTATAAATAAATATATTTACCAAGGTTACACATATCCTTATAGTTCTCAATATTGAACAATTGCAATACTTTGAACATGGATGGTTTTTTAAATGAAATATTTTTAAATAAATTTGCTTCGAAAATCTGCATAAACTGGGCATACCATTAAAAAAATTATATTTGTCCTCAACACAATTATGACAGGAAAAGCATTTCCTATGGGCTTTGTTAGTTTTATTATATCTCCCAGTTTCAATAAAAATTGTAAATTAGTGAAAGACATCTCTCTGACTGACATTGTTAATGATTTGAATGTTTTTGTTTATTTCTAGGCTCTTACCAGAAATACCAAGATAAAAGATATCAGGAACAAGGAGTTGCTTGCCTTGCATGTTTTCTCCCATTCCATCGAGTTCCTTAAGAAGGACTGTTTTGAAAATCTAAAGATCAAGGGTTTACAAGATGAAGTAAACTTTGAAAAGGAAATCTTGTGGGTTTTGACCGTTCCCGCCATCTGGGATGATGCCGCTAAACAGTTCATGAGAACAGCAGCTACTGAGGTACATACACGTACCAAAATACTAAATGATATACTAGTATTCAAGGTCGATCGAGAGTCTGTAATCAATTTTTAGAAGTGTTAAGTTCAGTATTTGGGTTTCATAGGACTGTGTGTATTGGGTTGTATTTTGGGGAAAAGACTACAGATAGGAAATTAAATTCATTTCAGAGCAGGTTGATGTACAGGTAATTGATCCATCTATACTAGGCAGATAAACAGATAAAGATCGATTGGTCAAAAATGAATCATTAGAAAGGAATCTTAAACTGCTTTAGCACTGCAAAATAAAGTATATTGCAGAGAACTGTTTCAAATTAAAACTTGATAAAAATACAGTTATGAAAAAGATGCAGGAAAGAACAAACTGAAAAATATTTTATAGGTAACTTGTGATTTCTTGAATAATTTAAGGCTGGGTTACCTAATGATAGACTCATGATCTGTCTTGAGCCGGAAGCAGCGTCCGTTTACTGCAAGTACCTTCCTCTAGAAAGACTAGAGCAAGACGCATCCTTACATGCACTACGACCAGGCACGAGATTTGTGGTGGTAGATGCCGGGGGTAAGAGGGCCAGATAATACTGTAGTAAATGAATTCGACAATAATTCAAAACTAAAAAGATTTAAGAAAAAAAAAATGAGGTTGCGGCAAAAGTTCATTCATTGCATTTTTTAACGTAATTTCCCTTTCATAAAGATTGAAAACCTAGCAAATCGTGAAATCGTATGAAACTATACCACCAACTAATTATATACCTTGTTCTAAACAGCATTTTGAACTACCGGTGTATTCACGCCGTACCAATCAAAACTGAGAAGAAACACATTACAAAGACTGTAAAATTCTTCTGTTTGATAATATTCAATAAAAAAGAAATGGTTATGAACCGAAACAATGTAAGTAACTTTTTAGAGAAATACTACGGTAATCATTACTTCTTTGTTAGGAGGAACCATAGATATGGCTGTTCAGGAAGTAACAGATGACAATAAACTACAAGAGATCGACCATGTCCAAGGCGGTAATTGGGGCGGAATTTATGTCGATGAAGAGTTCGAGAAGGTGATCGAAGACATTGTAAGTCAACCAATCTTGGAGGCCTATCGCCTGAACCACACTAGTGATTACATAGAACTTTTAAGATTTTTTGAAAAAAAGAAAAGACAATCCCAAACTAGTACAGTGCGTCTGTGTGTGCCGGCATCATTATTATCATTTGTACAGGAAAATTTGAACAAAACTATCAGCAAAACTACCGAGGAGTCTAAAAATAACAAAGATATTAAATGGAGACGGGAAAAAATGCAAATGCCTCCATCAATTTACCAGAACTTGTTTGATAGTGTTACTATACAAATAGCAGAACAAGTAGAAAGAATCCTTAATTCGGAATGTAATAGGGGTACCAATCTTATTTTAATGGTCGGTGGCTTTTCTGAATGCGAGTTGTTACAAAAGAGGATAAAGGAAAGTTTTCCAAGATGCAAGGTTGTGACTCCACCCGAAGCAGGTTTATCTGTTCTCAAAGGGGCTGTTTTATATGGACATGATCCCAGCATTATCAAAGCCAGGGCTGCAAAATACACGTATGGAGTAGCTGTCAAGACGCCCTTCGATGCCAAAATTCACCCTCAATCCAAGAAAGAAGTTGTTCGTGGGAAACCATACTGTAAAAATGTCTTTGACTTGCACGTTAAAAGAGGTGACATTATAAGAATTGACCAAGACCCCGTTAAGAAGTCGTACGTTCCTCTTTATCCTGAACAATCTTCTGCGGGCATTAAGGTATTTGCCTCAAAAGGAAGTGTTCCGAAGTATACAGATGGCTGCCAATGTCTTGGTGTACTGACTGTAGAAATGCCAAACATAGAGAAAGGACTAGATCGAAAAGTCAGCGCCCTGCTAAGATTTGGAGGTACAGAATTAACCGTGGAAGGTATCGATGAAACATCCGGAGAAAAAGTGGAGACACAGTTAGACTTCCTTGCTGGGGGGCCATAAAAATTATACACATGATCTAAAAAATGTTTTATCGATAATGGAGTATTTTATTTTTCCTTTTAATCAAGATTTTGGCCATATTGTCAAATGATTTCTTTTAATTTAGTAGAAGAAAATATATATGCAGTTTTTTCTTGTGTTGATTATTGTTCCAGTTGCCAAGTATAATTTTTTGGGTCTGTAGAACCTTATTCAAGTTAGCTTTTGCTATCATTGCAAAACATCATAAATCACCTCTAATTTCATATCTTGTAAATAAGCATTGGTATCAAAGGCTCGATGCAATAAAATCTTACTTCTCTAAAACTATATTTAATATTTTTTTTCCTTTTATGGGGTTCAAATGTTAACTTTTTATAAGACCTTTTATAAAACTTCCATAAAATCTCGAATCATATAAAGATGAATAAGATGAAAATTGTTGCATGAAAAGTTCTCATTTTCAAGCCTCGTATTGATGCTTTTTAAATTAAATATTAATTTTTGGAGTTATCCTTCCTGGCTGAGAATCGGATTTCCTTAATGCGCCTCATCCTTGTTAGTGTGGCCAAGATTACACTGGAACGAGCCTGCTCTATAAAAGCTTAACTCTGGTCATTGACATCCCGAAATGGTTGAATGAAGCATGGAATGTCCAGTAGTGTGTCTTAGATGCAACATCCATACACAATTGGTCACTAAATAGCTAATAGAAACATTAGAATGAGTCTGCAAAACAAATTATTATTAACCTGAAAATATAGGTCAGTCCAGAATCTGAAGCAAGACCTATAGTGTGCATCCTTAGATGTATCATATATGCAAGTTTGTGCATTATGTAGGGCTTACAGTTACTTTGAAATAAGACCAGCTAGAAAAGAACCCACTAAAGTTATTCTTTTGCTGGAACTGCAACATCTGAAACTTTGACTGGTACTTTGAAACAAACTGGAAACTTTTTCATACATCTCTGATAAATATTGGGCATAGAAGTACTTGAAAAAAAAAGTACTTGAAAAGACATCTGCCCCGAATTAAGACTTTGACCTGGACAACCCCCACCCCCGTGTTATGGTTACAATGAAACGCATTGAAGTGGTAAAATTTTCTGTTTGGAAGGAACGTTTTGAGCTATCTTTAGACACGCCCATTTCTTTAGAAAAGAAATATCGGTCAAATGATTCAATCGAATACCTGTAGAACAGGTATTTCATAAATATAACATCCAATGAAATTGACGGTTAACATAAACACCGAGTAAGCACGTGTTCGACTGATACATGTGCTATGCTAACTCCAATAAACATGATAAAATCATAATTATGTACAAATTCGTTTCAATGCGTGTTTTACACAAGCGGGAACTCTATAGATAGCTCTTTCTTGTTTAAAAATCTTCATTTCAAGTTGTTAGTCGCGGGAAGTGTAGTGTCCTAAAAGATTACGACGAATATTCCTTTCTCGTTTCTAAAGAAATGGGCGTGTCGTTATGTTATTATAACTGACGTTCAAAACATGACTCAGAACGTTTCGTCAAAATGGAAAATTTTACCACTTCAATGCGCTTCATTGTAGCTAAAAACCTTAAAACTGCTCAATAACTTATATGTCAGATACAGGATGCAAAGCAATTCTAACAGTGTACGCAATCCTTGATGCATCACCCATGCAAGTTAATTAATTCACCAAATGACCGTTTCTTAGGACACATTAAAGAAAGGGGGGGGGGTCATTTTTCTGGAAAATACCTGCTAGTCAAGCAACCTTTGAAAACCTTCTTGTAGAATGAAACATACTACAGGCCTAATCCATGCAACTCAATGCTTAGTTTCCTTAAAGGTACTTGGACACAGATTTGAAGTTATTTTTTTTCTGTATAATATCACGAATTATATATTTTAATAGCATTTCACACAAAAATTAATTAAAAATCTTGATTCATTTAAAAGATATTAAAACTTTAAATTTTTTGGTGGCATTTTCACATATTTAAACATTTCTTAATCCTTAGGAAAAGTGACAATCTTGTTGTGTATTATTGAGAAATATTAAAACCTAAATCCAGAAAAATAATTTTATTCAGAGTAGAAATGTTAGAAAGCAAAACTCCTTCACAAGTATCGTCATTCCGTTGTGTACAGAGCTTAGCAAATCGAGCACACTCGTGTTATGTACACAGTTTTTGTAAACAAGGCAAGAACCTGTTATTGTTTGATGTTTACGATTCATCGGGTGCGTTTAATCGCCAAAGTCTGCTCACCACAACTGCACGGACTGACAATATATTGTGTATTTGTTTTGCTTTCGAGCATATCTACTCTGAATTTTCTGGATTATAGTATTAGTATTTTTCAGTAATACACAACAAGATTGCCATTTTTCCTAAGGATTAAGAATAAAGTTAAAATTTGTGAAAGTGCAAGGACGTGTCTATCAAACCCGCCAAAAAAAAAAAATAATAAAAATTTTAATAACTTACAAATGAAATAAGATTTTTAATTAATTTTTTTGTGAAATGCTATTAATATATATAAGTCGTAATATTATAGAGAAAAAGTTAACTTCAAATCTGTGTCCAAGTACCTTTAAAATATTTACCAAAAACCTGGAATGTGAAAGGTAAAGCAGGCTCCCTAAAGGTAAAATATGACTCTTTTGATGCATTTATCATTTAATATCTCAAACTAAAGGAAAGCTTCCTAATTTAGTCTTATCCATCTAGCCCTTCTGCAGTGAAATATCAAGAAGTCAATTAGAGGCCCATGAGCCACAATGGTCACCTGAGTAAAGTTCCTTGTAACTAACACAATACTCATTGTGGCCCCACACTGCCAAACAGTCGATGATTTAGAATCTACACTACCCCAGGAAGGTTCCACATCATTATAAGTTTCAAATTTTCTGGTTTAAGATTTTTCCTGTAAGCTTCAATGCAAAACATTCATTCCCTATATGGCATCACCCTACCCCTGGATGCTTTTGCATAAGTTTCAGCTTTTCTAACCAAATTTTTTTCCTATATCAATATAAAACTTGGATTTTCTATTGTTGCACAACCCTCCCCTTGGGGTCATGATTTGAATATATAAACTATCTCAGGATGCTTCCATACAGTTTCAGCTTTTCTGGTCTAGTATGTGGTTCTTGAAAATGAAGATTTTTCAAGATTTTTCTTATATAATTCAATGTAAAAGAAGATGGGGGAACAAAGAATGCAGAATGGCTGTAGCTTCAAGAAATCATATTCAATATGTGAATTGGGTATTTAAGGTTTCGTCAAAGGTCAACGTGTCTAAAAAATTATTTTTACAATAGCTCCAAAACTAGGTGTGGTATAAAGTCTAAAGTTTACAGTTGATAAATATATCGTTGATTATTAGATAGAAAGTATCACTTGAGAACAAATATTTTAAAAAAGATATTTTTTGAGAAAAATTGTACAAGAAAATGTGCATATTTAAAGAATAATGCACCTGCTTAATTTTTATCTTTTTTGTGAAAACTATCATTGAAGAAATAATATATGTTTATCATTGAAGGGCAAGCTGGACATGAATGGTCTCTGAAAGGCTGTTATTGAAAACATGACATGTATAAAGACAAAACTCCTATAGAATCCGACATTTGCGGGTGTTGCTAAAACGCGGAACGGAAAACGGAACGGAAAGTGGAACGGAACGGAAAACGGAAAACAAATGTCAATATGAATCAGAAATAAAAAGCAATATTCATGATATAAAAGTCATATTTAATGAAAAATTAACGTAAAATATGATATATTTGTGAATTATGCTCCTCTCATAACATGTACATGCCATGGTCATTAAAAGGCAGACTGTGATTTAGATGTACTAACTACTGTAAATCACTTTTTATTTTCGCGTAATTACGCGAGACAATGCGTTCGCGAAAATTAAACTCTCGCGTATAAAAGTATTCCTTACGATTGTAAGTAGTATAAACGGTCTAGATAGGCGGGTCAATATCTAGGACATCCCACTGAGGGGGATAGGCGGGTCAACTGAGTGCACTTTTGGGGCT